CTACTATGTGGTACAGCAAGTTAATTTAACTATACTAATATTATCTGATAAAATTCTGTGTTCTGTCACTTCACTTTGGAATTATGGGTCAAGGATTGCATACAGTTTTATTACCTCAAGGTAAAGAATGCAATGATTTTGAAAACTGAATGGTAGAAATGACTGATTCCCTCTTTGAGTCAGGCTTTCTTCTTTTAGGTTACGCTGATAGTGATGTGGTGTCATTGAGGTGTTCAGCATCATCAGAGTGGTAGTGAAGATGCTTTGATCCTCAGATTCTGAATTATTAAGCTTTATCTTATTCTGCTTGGTTTATTTAAAAGTATGTGAGTTTATGTGTGTGCGTACACATACACACCCTCATTTATATTTGCAAAGGTGCTAGTGATAGTGATACAGCTGTGAATGAGCAGAGCTTATAATCTGGTAGGGAAAAAATATTAAACATATCATTAGATGAGTAATTATTAAATTGAGGTGTGGTGAGTGTTGCAAAGAAAAAACTCAAGATACCAGTAATTACAAACATTAATCTGCAGATGGATATGTAGGTAGACAGGCTAAATGATTAGGTATGTTTGGGCAGAAGGAAATATACCCATGACCATATATAAGTCTGGCAGATGATATTTCTACATACGTATTTGTATGTGCTATAAAAATGTCCATATATTTAGTAGAGTTAATGGGACAAAGTGATGATAACTTCTTAGCCACAGCCAAACATCCTGAGGGAATGAGTTATTGGGCCCTTGGAACATAAGAGTGAGTCACTGGGGCAGAAGGAAAAGGAGAAGAAGAAAACCCAAGATGTTGCCTAAGTAATGTAACAGGGTACTGATCATGTCTCAATCTGGTGAGACAAGCAGAGTGGTCAAGGGTTAGAGGTGACACCTAGAATTTGAGATGTCACCCTTCTCAAAAGTTTTCAACAAGAGCTTTGGTAGAGTAATGCCTGAGGCACTTGACTGCTAACCAGAAGGCTGGAGGTTGAAACCCACCAGCCACTCCTCGGAAGGAAGGTTGGGCAATCTACATCCATAGTGAAACTGCTTCAGAAATCCAAGGAGGGGTCACTGTGAGTTGGATCTGACTCAATGGCAGTGAGTTTGTTTGGTTTTTGGTTTTTCATTTGTCTTACCTTCAAGGCCCTTTACAACCTTTCCCTGACTTCTCCCTCTAACACCCCTGCTTCCATAGAAAAACCCTTTCATCTAGCTATGTTGACCTACTGAATACGTCTTCAATATGATCGTCATTCATACCTTCATCCTATGATCACTTATCACTGCATTTTAGAATCCCCTTCCCTATCTCAAATCCTGCTTCCTCTGTGAGCTCTTTTCTGATTTCTCCCACTCACACTGACATTTCCCTGGATTGAACTAGTCCATGCCTTGAACTTTCATACAGGCTATACTGTATTGCTTTTAAGAATAGCTAGTCATCTATTTATGAAAATTCAACTTACTCAGTAACTGATTATGCTTAGCCGTTTACACCCACCTATTGCACTTTAGGTTGGCAGCAAGGTAGCTAGGTAGAATGGCATATACATCGAGCCCTTACTGTGTGCCAGGTGTTGTGCTAAATGTTTAACATGTTATTTAATACAATAACCCCTGGGCCTCTGATTATGAAACTGAAGCTCAGAGAGGTTCAGTCAGCTGCCCAAGATCCATCAGCTTGTCACCCACTCATTTGATTCCTTAGGCCAAGCTCTATTTAAAGTAATAACAGTAACTGTCTGAAAGCAATTCCAAGAAAGGAACATTAAAAATCTTTTGTTCAATTCAGTTTTAAAAGCAAGCATTCATTTGGATGTGTCTTTTAATTTTTATAAAGCAAAACAAAAATACATGTCAGAAAGCCAATCAGAAATTATGTGCCTCCCTGATGGAAGTATACAACTTTACCTATAAAGTATTCTTACTTAAAAAAAACACAAAAATCTGAGTCTGATCAAGTCTGTAGATACCACTACTAGTTCACAGGAAGTACAGTAGGCAGAGAAACATGTTAAAAAAAACAGGAATGCAATCAGCAAAATCCAGACTACGGGAAACTCGATAGGACATACTATCCCTCTTCATTAATAAATAAACTGTAAGGGGATTAAAAAAAGGAAAAAAAAAAATGAAGAGGGAACCTATAGGGCAAAAGAGTCATAAGAGACATATTAACCAATTGCAGTGATTGGACCTTTTTAAAATCCCAAAACTGGAATATTATTTATGTGGTATTTGAGGAAATTTGAATACTAGATATTAGATGAATTGAAAGATGATAGGGTTTTGTTTTACTTTTGTAGGTATAATAATGCTATTATGATTCTTTTTTTAAAAAAATTCATATGTTTTAGAGAAACCCACCAAAATATTTACACATGAAATTATATAATACTGGAAATTGCTTTCAAATAATTCTGGGGGTGGATGAGAGTAGAAAGCAAACAAGAGTGACGTGACTGCATTGAATATTGTTGAAGTTAGCTGGCAAAGTGTGTGGGCTTTGTTATAGTTTTTTTTTCTTCTTTATGTCTAAAGATTGGCAATATTAAAAAAAAAAACCTCTATAGATAACAAAACTAAGCCACTCTAAAATGAATGTCAGAGATATTTTTAAACAAGAGTTCATCCTTTAAGCCCTTGTATCCTCTTTCCTCACCTCAGGTGGGTGATAACATTCTTGTCTGGAGTCACCACTCACTCATTGCTCATCACGCTGTGTCTGTTCTGAGGTTCATGAAGCCCCAATACTGATGGCATTCCCTACTACTCTTTGTATCCTCAAAACTCCTACAGTGCCTGGCAAATGGTAGGAGTTAAGTAAATTTGGAAGAATGAAGGGTCAGCATGACTGAATTCTTTGCTTGGGACACAAGGGAAAGGGAAATAGCTAAGTATCAAATAATTTAGGAACTTGGATATTCTTACTTGGCAGTATGAGTTTCTTTCATTCTTAAGATGGTCTGTGGGAAACTTAAAACCCAAAAAAACCAAACTCACTGCCGTCAAATTGGATCTGACTCATAGTGACCCCTCCTTGGGTTTCTGAGGCAGTATCACTATGGGAGTAGATTGCCCAGCCTT